AAAATCGTGAACGATTAAAACCGATAATCGACACTTTGATTTTATGTGGAAAACAGAACATACCATTGAGAGGACATCGTGATGATGGAAAACTTCTAAATTCAAATTCCCAACTTTTAAAAAATTATGGCAATTTTCGTGAAATTTTAAGATATAGAGTGCAATCAGGGGATATGATTTTAAAAAAACATTTGGAAAATTCATCGTCACGAGCTACATACATAAGCAAAGAGACCCAAAATAACTTATTGCATTGTATAGGTGATGAATTAAAGTCTCTGATTGTTGATCAAGTTAAAGAAGTTGGAGTTTATGCTATTATATTCGATGAAACGACAGACATGTCCCATATCGAACAACTCAGCTTATCATTACGATATTTGTATGATGAGATAATCTATGAGCGTTTTATTCAATTTGTTGATGCTTATAGATCTATAAAAGAAAATGATATTGTATCAGGAGAATCAAAATTAACTGGTCGTGCAATTGGTCATATTGTATTGTATATATTGGAAAACCTCGGATTAGATTCAAAACTTTGTGTAGGTGTGGGAACTGATGGATGCAGTGTGATGACTTCAAATTATGTTGGTGTAGTTACTACTATTTTGGAAGCTTGTCCAATGGCTGTTCGTTGTCCATGTTTCAGCCATGCATTAAACATTTCCCTTTCACAGTCATCAAAAGTGGTTTCTATTAGAAATACTGTTAGTATACTAAAAGAAGTAATTACATTTTTTAACAGTTCTGCCAAGCGACAAGTTGTTTTAAAAAAATATTTTGAAACATAATTTAAAAGGACTATGTCAAACACGTTGGATTGAAATGCATGATGGTGTGTTACAATTTAAATCATCTCTTTCAAAGGTAAATATAAATAATATATAATTATACATTTAGTTATATTTGTAAAAATTATAAACCTCAGTATAAATTTGTTTCCATTTATTTCAGATAGTAGAATCATTGGTTGAAATTCAGAGTTGGACAGATAAAGCATCATCATCGAAAGCACTTTCGCTTGTTTCTACTATTTGTACCAGTGAGTTTTTGATATCTCTATACTCTCTGATTGATGTATTAAAACATTCACTAGTTGTCAGCCGTCTTCTTCAATCAGATTCACTTGATCTCCAAAATGCAACACAAGCTACTCAAAGTATTTTAGAGTTGTTGGAAGAAAAAAGAAGAAATTGTAATCAAGAATTTAGACAAATATTTTCTGAAGCACAACGAAAGGCGACTGAATTAGACTTTGAAATTAAATTACCTCGTTTAGTCAAAACAATGAATCATAGACCCAATTATCCTACTGAAGGAGAGGGAGACAAGGCAATAGAAAATTATTATCGTTGTTCCATATATATACCATTACTTGATGGAATTTATACAGATCTTAAGACTCGTTTAAACCCCAATACATTGAAGTTATTTGATTTGCGCTTACTGATACCAAAAGTATTTTTGAGTGTAATGGCTTCAGATAAAAATATCACAGTAAAAATATTGCAAGAAAAGATCCTAAAAATTGTGCCCATGTTTAATTACTTATGGCAAAATGATGATTATACCAAAGATGTATTAGCTGGTAAAATATATTTATAAAATATTTTTGTTAAAATCTTGGATGTTACAATAATTATACAAATTGATTTTAGGAGAGTATGAATTATGGTTTAACATGTTTAAAAATCAATCCAGCAATATTGAAATAAAAGTACCAAGCACTGCTATATCCTCACTGATGGTTTGTTCTAAAGATATGTACCCTATAATTTCTTCATTATTAAGAATATTAGCGACATTGCCTGTTGGTACTGCTACTGCCGAAAGAAGTTTTTCTACATTAAAGCGAGTCAAAACATCGTACTACCATTAGAAAGGAAAGATTAAATGCCTTATGTCTTCTAAATGTACATAGAGATTTTAATATGTATGATAAAAAAGATATCATTATAAATAATTTTGCCTCTAAAAATAAATGTAGATTAGATTTTGTGTTATAAAAATTATTTAAAAATTTTTTTACCGAGGACCTCGGATACTATATGGCTTTGAAGTAAATTTGTTAGGAGGCCCCTCCCCAAATCCAATCCTGGATCCGCCACTTGCAGGTACCTACAAACCAGTGTTGGGTAGTAACGAGAAAGTAATGAGTTACTTTTCTATTAGTAAAGTAAAGTAATTTCATTACAATTTTACTTGAGTAACGAGTAAAGTAACTTAATTACATTTATCTCTAAGTAGCGAGTAAAGTAACTTACCCAACACTGTTACCAAAATTATTTTAATATTTAAGCCGAAAAAAAAGGCAAAGCGTCTGAATGGGTTAGTTGATATTTTGCAGGTTAAGTATTTCTCACTTTCCGGCTAATATAGATAATACCGTGCGAATTCTAAATTCAGTCGTGCAAATTCATGCCAATTGCGTGCTAAATATTGGCATAAAAAATTTCTCAAAATTCTTTAGAATTCAAGTTGGGCGCGGCCGGCGCAACGTTTCCCCAGCCGCACCCAAAGTATTTCTCATTTTCCGGCTAATATATTACCGTGCGAATTCTAAATTCAGTCGTGCAAATTCATGCTAATTGCGTGCTAAATATTGACATAAAAAAAGTTGATGAATTCGCAAAACTTTAATATCGGGCGCGGCTGGCGCAACGTAAGGCTGGCGGTATTCAAAATTTTGATACCGGTATCCGGTATTTGTTTACTACCGGTATTTACGGTATTACCGGTTATAAGGTATTTTCGGTAATTACCGAAAATACCGTATCACGGTAATTACCGAAAATAACGATGTGAGGTAATTACCGAAAATACAGTACACGGAATACATACCGGTAAATTTATAAGTGTTTCTAAGTTTCCAACCTAAGAAAATTTACCTTTAACATCTAAAAATCATGTGCAATTATTTATTATTGTTTAAGACTTTAAGACTCCCAATTTTTTGTGATATGGTGAAAATGGAAGGGGTAGTTTCTAGAAAAATAATAAATTACTTCTACAAACGAAGAGGGAGGGGATCGTGAGGTAACTGATTTTTTTAACCTGTTTTTTTGGTATTCGCGACGCTAAAAAGGTTGAGAAACTCTGATCTAGATGCAGGCAACGGTCTGCAAACTGGCAGTTTAGAATCACTCATCTTGTATATAGAACATGTTGGCTTCATATGTAGATATCTTATAGGTCATATGATATGAGTATATTACTGATATCAGATATGTATTGAATAAATTGTATGAACAAATAAGTAAGAAGCTTAAAATTAATTAATTTTTACACAAAATAAATAAAGTTTTAAAAATTAAAATAGTAAGATAGAAAATATATTAATAGTACCTAAGTCCTAAAGATGATTTACTTTAATTTTTTCATTGATTTGGATTAGTTTTATAGTCAGTAAGAGTAGTAAGACGGTAACAATAAGATCTAGTTAAACTGTTAAATTATGTTTATATGAATTATATTTATTTATTATTTAATCATGGCACAATGTATGTTCATGTCATTCACTATGTCATGGAGTTATGTATTAGCATATATTTATTAATTTAAAAATATTAAATTATAAGATAAAAAAACTTTTTATACATTTAAATTTCAAGGTATACAAATAAAAATTGTATTTATTTGTTTAAATGACTTAAACATTCAACATTATTACATAAACTTTATTAACATAATACTTATATGTATAATTTGACATGATAACAATGAACCTTTAATTTAAAATAATACCTATTTTAAGGTTAAAAAAACTGTGAATTTTTTGAAAGAAAAATTAATTGTTCTGCATGACCTGGAGCGAGTGACGCTCGATTATCTGTACATATATTACCACCAGTACTAAAAAGTCTTTCACAGGGTACACTAGTTCCAGGTATACATAAGTATTTTTTGGCCAATGTTTCAAGTTTTGGAAATTCAGCACCAAATTTTCCCCACCAATCTGTTGAATTTGAAGACAAATTCACAAGAGGCATCTGCAAGTATCCAAGTATTTCTCTGTTAATGCTTTCTGCTTCAGATTCTGTAGTTGAAACTTCATTTTCCACTGATAAAGAAGTTGTGTTGTCTAAAAACACGGCTATGCCTTAAAAACAAATATAATAAAACAAAAATTAAATTACTTAGAAAATTATTGATACTTCATCCCTATTTCGTTTTAGTATATTATTATGATAAATTTATATTTGTTAATATAAATTGAAGATGCGATAAAAGTAAATGTTTTAAATGTTTCATAATATTATATATTTTTTATATAACATTCAATTTTAATATTATGTTTTAAAAGTTTTAACTCGTTTTAATAATTTTTACCTGTATAATGGTGAGTTTTTTTCAATGAATGGTCATTCGCTGATATGTTATTACTTATTTGTTCCATTTCTAATTTTATCTCGTCATGAATAACACCTATTTGGTTTTGGTTTCCAAGATATTTGTTTCTGTGCCGAGGGTCTAAAAATGAAGCTTTTCAATAACTTCATAGTTTTCTCGTTACTGGAATATCTTTTTGATAGTGCTTCAAAAATTTCTGAAAGAACTAATTGTTCAACATGTTTAAGTGCTTGAGATGAGGAATTTGTTTCTGAAGTTTCTTCGTCATCATCTTCACCACCAGAATCCGTCGGTTCGGCAAGCGATCACCGTACCACTGCGCCACCCCGTCACATATACTTTATATACTTTAAATACTTATAAATACATAAAACTGCAAAAGAAACATTTAATAATAGCTTGCAGCGTCGTATTGTCATTAGGAGCCAATTAATGAAAGGATGAAATAGACATCCGTTCGCACGCTCGCCGAACAATCAATAAATTACCATTATACCTATAGTATATCGAATAGAAGATACCAATTAATGAAAAATACATTAACCCTAATAGCCTCATTATTGTCATCGCCAGGATGTCTTAATAGCCACCTGACGCGGCTACACTGGTAGGAATGGTAGGCCGGTCGTTGTCGTGGGTGCGTGTTGATGCACTCGGCACAAACGCACAAAAATCTACATTTCAAGGACCCGGTCGCCTGTGCTAATGCCATAAAACACCTCAAGGAAATGGTTTCCAACAACCGCATGGTATTATCGTCTTCTTCTTCAGAGGAAGACACCAGTGAAAGTTCTAAAGTATTCAACCTCTGGGAATACCACCAAGGACTAGCCCATAAACGCTCTAGTTCAAGGGCGTCCAGCAGCAGGAAAACTAATAGTAATTCACCATCAGATCAACTTGTTATGAATTATCTGTCAGCACCAGTCAGTCCTTTAAAGCAAAATCCTTTAGAAACTTGGGAAGATATGAAATCGGTTTTTCCATTAATTTACATGGAAGCTCAAAAAGTATTTTGTGTTGTTGCGACGTCTGTTCCTTCCGAAAGGCTATTCTCCAAAGCTGGAGCTACTCTTTCCAAAGAAAGAAACAGGTAATTCATTTATTTTAATTGAATATATTATAAATTTATATATTTTGTATTATATTAATTATTTATTTGTTATTAGATTATTGGGCAAAAGACTTTTTAAGCTGTTGTTCCTGGGGTCTATTGATGACTGTTATTGGCTTGATAATGTATAACTTTTTATTATTTAAGTTATTTTAGTTATTATAATAAATCATTAAAAATTTTCATGTTATTATGATATATATTAAAGTTATTAAGTTATTATTTTAATGTACATGTTATATTTTAAAATAAATGATAAAGTTACATTGAACTTAATAAATCATTCTAACTATATAATATTTGTATTATTATTTGTGTTATTTCATAACTGCCAAGTAATTCATTTTTATGGCACATATATTTATATATACTATACAAATTGTAGAAGTAAAAGTAATTGAAAATAGATCATCATTAATTTTAGTAAAATGTCAAGATATTTTTTTAATAACGTCTCTTACGATTTATCAAAATTATGTTTTAGTTTACAATATGTTTTTTAATACAATTTTAAGTATTTTTTTTTGTTCATAATATTATAAACATGTCGACATGTTGTAAAAATGTATTTGACAAAAATATTTCCCAAAATATAAAGGGAACATATTTTTATTAATATATATATATATGTATTTAAAAGTATATTTAGGCTGAATCCATATTTTTTCTGCGAGGCCAGTTTTCGAACGTCTTTATACCACCTTTTTTACATATAATTTATTCGGTAAAAATTACGTATACACATAATGAGAAACAAAAAAATAATAAATATCATTAATTTTTTTTGAAATATCGACGATATATCGATATTTTTTGAGCTGATATATCGGCATATCGATATTTAGTTTTTCGATATATCGATTATCGATATATCGAGGTCGGGAATATTTTTGCCATCCCTATACGGGTCACGTTCCGGCGGTGGCGGCTGTTGACGACAGCGGCAGTGACCGGTTTTCAAGGTTGTGGTCTGCGCGCTGCGTGTGTCACCTGCGGTAGTTTTACGGTGCGAGAGGTGGGCGTTGCGGCGGGGTAGCGGTACGTTATGTAATTGCTTCTCAAAGCCGTATCACGATTATACTCGGTTGCGCGGATTTCCCCCTTGTGTACTAAAATAGTTCTTACGTAATGCAATGTTGGGAATCCTAGCTTACCGGTAGACACACTCCTGGGTAAATATCTTAATACTATGTAATAAAGCAAATAATACCGAGGTATGTGTCAGCGTGAAAACTCTTACCTTTTCGCTGACTTGAAGTGGTGATGACTTGGGGAGATATCCTCAGCGGGGAGCCAATTGACGCGGCTACACTGGTAGGAATGGTAGACCGGTCGTTGTCGTGGGTGCGTGTTGATGCACTCGGCACAAACGCACAACTTAATAGTTAATAAAACAGATAAACGGAAACACGAACGGTAGCTTGTCCGGTGGCGTTTATTTACCGTAAAATAAAGAACATAAAACAGGAAGACCCGTGGCCGGGTGAAGGTAGGTATTTACAATACGAACTACAAAAAGACGGATACGGT